GTTCTACTTCTCCTGTGTTCCCCAGCTGTCCCTAGAGAAGGGCATCCCTCTGCAAAAGAGCATAAGACTGTAATTTTCTCATAATGTGGTAAAATAACTCCATCCCTCCAGAAAAGACCATAAGATTGTATTTTTGACCCAGTGTGGTAAAAAACATCCTACACTAAGGACTGAATTGCTTGTACTCCAGCCATGCTGCCAGGCACGACCAGTGGAGTTGAGGTACAGGCGGGCTCTTGTTGTACTCAGGTTCACGGTTGGTTCACATTTATCTTCCAAGAACTTCCCCGTTTCAGCAGCGTGACCACGCGTGCCCTTCCGCAGTGCTGGGAATCCCGCGTGGGTGGAAGATACAGTGTGTTGTGCATTCCATCGTGTTCATGCTGTGAGCACCATCGTGCACCTCCTGGTAAAAACGACTGCTGCCACAGAAAGGATTAACAACTGAAACTTAAGATTTCTTCAATAACCACAATGCCATCAAATATGGGAAGAGGAAGGACGGGTGTTAATCTGATATTACTAACATCAGCCTTTCAGTACCTCTTGCTATTACGGGCTCACAGAGCAGGAAAAGCATACATACAAAGATGCTGACTGAAAAAAGACAGTACATTACTGGAAGTTTCAGGTGGTATGACGTGGGCAGCACAGAGGGATCTTCCATCACAAGTAAAGGACTAGCCACAACATTTACTACAAGTGTTGCACTCTCCTTTCTGATTCTTCTGTTTTCTTTCGGATTTTTATTTGCACACTTTCACTTTAATCACATTGAGGGCTTGATCCCTCTTACCCCATGGAAATTCTGGTACTATTCTTTTTAGAGTAACATGATTAGCAAGGCATCCTTAGGTATGAGTTCCCATAGCCACACAGCAACTGGATCAACCGTACACATCAGAAACATGTCTCTGTTGATGCAAGTACTTTGCAAAACAGAAAAGGTGTGAGGGAGAGGGGCAGAAGCAAACCCCAAAAGCAGATTAACCATCCCTTCAGAAAACAAGAGCACGAGTTTTGTATAATGTATGCCACTAATGGTGATGAAAGTGCATTTTCAGTGATGCAAAACAACAGAACAAGATCTAATATATTTGTGAATAGCAATAGTAATATCAACACCTTTTAGAATAGGGTGTCCAAAAAATATTCCAACTGTGGTACAGATAGAAAGTCCTATGGCATGGCACATACATATAGACCAATGGCAATAAATGACATAAAAATACACATCCACTGGGAATCGAGGAGGGGTGGAAAGGCCAGAGGCAACAAGGGGCTTTGATTTAATGCACTTAGAGCAAATGCATTCTGCTTTCCAGTTTAAAGAGCATGTACACAACCAAAGACACCATTATAGATTAGTCCAATGGAGAATATCAGCAGTATAATGGCTAGAGTTGTATATTAGAGATTTCAAAGCCAAAGAAATTCTTTGTATAGCAGCACTGTCAGAAATGCATAAGTTCTTGCATGCTGGGAAATTTAGACTTGGTCCAGAAATAACAAAACTCTAAGGGAAACGGCCTGCCTGCTGGGTTGCTGTAGATCTTTGCAAAAATGCTGTTGAAGCCATTTGGATACAAAATTCCTATTTACAGAAACAATTTTTTAAATAGACAACTGGAGAAATTAATTGGTGCTCTGAATGCTCTGGAAAATTATATTACACTGATTGCCAATTCTTTGCTATATATAACAGCTAACTCCCCTACAGTATGTGTAATAGTGAAAGACAATTGTGTTGTTGCTGGAGAAAGTTCATTCGTTCAGCAACATTTTGAAGATACATAAGAAGTCTTATCACTAACACTGAAAGACAAAATATTTAGTGGAAATGTACTCTGAGTTTGAGGATTTAAAGGAAATTTTTTTCCCCTACTCCTTCTGCCTCTAGCAAAGGCTCTACGTCAGGCAGTTTTCTAGCCTTCAGGTGCCCTGCTACGTAACCCATGTAAATAAGGTCTAACTGACCCTTCTCCATGTGTTTCTACCCTGCCACGTTCCTCTCTAAAAGGGTCTCAGAGAAAGATTACGGCTCCATCTCCAAGTATGAGGGAGAGTGATGCTTTGTGTCAATTGAGTCCCAGCCAGCTGCTTCCTAGTAACATCCCCATTTCAATGGGCAGCTGACTCTGTGTGTGCAGGGAGTTTTCAATTTTTTTCAGTCCTAAAGCCCACAAACATGCAAGAAAGAGAGTCTTAGGCTTGTTCAGAGCACAAGTAAGAAGAACCTATATCTGCATTAAGGCTTTAGACAGCATATGGAGGAATAATATTAAAAACCTGTTTTAAAAACAGGCTTACAAAACTCACGGCTTCCATAGGTGACACTAGAATTAACAGAAAAGTCCAGTTATACTTCGATCATTTTTGGTTCTTGCACAAGTGTGTGTGTGTGTGTAGAGAGAGTCTCTTGCTTCAGAGCTTCCAAGGTAACCCTCTTTCCTTGTCACAGATAACATGGGGGAACCTGCAAGTCCAATGGAGCTCTTCCCCCTATAGCAAATAAGTGCAATAATGCCATTACTATGGTTCAGTAGTCGCAGTTCTGGGAACTAAAAAATTCACCACACTGCACTGGCCCTGTTATGGGTGCAGTTAAAAGAATATTTAAACAGTGTCAGTGGCAATTTTCTAAAATGAGTATATCCAACTAGCCACCTGCAGACCAAAATCACCAGTTTTGATACTTTTGGGCATCAGAACCAATGTCTGTAATTAGACGGACACAGAAAATCTTGACAAAATGGACTTGTCCTTGACCTATTAGTTTATTTCAAAAACCTTCTGTTCATTAAACTTACATACATCAGGGAATGTTGTAGATATTTGATCCTTTCTCTGTTGTTCAACAATGTGATATATGTCAAAGGCGACCAAAGAAACTGAAGGGAATGAAAGAAACACCTTTACTGACTAATCAAGGGAAATGCTTTCGTACTTACACACTTCAAACAAAAATGCACCACCTTTTTTCAGAACAAAACTGCTTAACTTTACCATGAAGGTAGTTTAAAGAAGTTTTATTGCAGTCAACACTGACTGAAATTAAGAACCATTTTTTTTTTTACAGTTCTCTCATATTACCCTTTCCTCAGCTTCAGGCGTTTAAAGCTGCTCAGCTACTTAGGCATTTAAAAGGTCCATTTGCAAGGCATTTTGGTTTGCTAATTTCCACAGCTAGAATCTTAACCCATGTTCCAAATTCACTATGAGTCATCTCTAATTTTTCTTGTTCTAAGCAAGTTAATGGAGTGCAATCTCTAAATTAGGGCAAGCAGGCAAATTTATAGTTCTCTTGATTTTTCACTCAAGCACATAGATTTTTGTCTCTATCCAAACCGTATAATTTTCTTCAAGATTTTTTGTCCTTGTATCTTTTCCGGTAATAACTTTGCAATAATGTCACAGTAAATTTTGATGAATTGTTGATCTGTTTGAAGCCTTCATATATTGTTGTGGGATTTCCCACCACTCACACCTAGAAAGGACCAGAAGTCTAGATTGGGCAAATTCCTCTGAGCGTGTTTTTGCCATGCAAGCAGCCACAATGCCATGATAAGGTGCGATTTACAGCTCTAATGCCTGCTCGCTCCAATACTGGCATACTACCATACAGGCTGTATTGCTCAGAACACGTGGACTCCTGTTTTCTCTCTCTGAAAAAGGAAAGTTGTGCAGAGGAAAGAAGAATAAGGCCTTAAAAGGAAGGAAAAAAGGCATGGATCTCAACATGACTGGAGTAGGACAATAGATCACTATCAAAATAAGCACAATTAATTTTCCCTATATTGCCACATAAACAATTCACTAGGACAAAAGCCTACACTCTCTCTGAAATCCTTTTTACATTCACGTAAGAAAATGCACACATTGGATCCTGGGATGATTTTTGAAATTCTTTTGAACATGCTATGTTTCTCCAGGAGAAGAAGAAAAGTCGCAAGACAAGATCAGGCTGATGTTGAAGAAGTGCCTCTTTACTCCTTTTAACCTAGACATGCTGTTCAAAGGTAACATTTATCATCATTACCGCACTATGCATCCAGCAACAGCCTAGAGAAGGGTGCAAAAATTCCAGGATGAAGGACACTGTCTTTCTGAAAGTTCAGCAAGAGTCTGGGTAGCATCCATATTTTTTTCACGCTGTGGGAAGGAACAAGCCAGGCCCTGTGCACATCATTCAGATAGCCCATAATACCAAGTCAAGTGATGGCAAAAACATACTTCCAACACCAGGTGTCTAGGATTTCGTGCACCATTGTGATCATACCTCGATGCAATATTTCCGTACTAGATGCAGCTTGTTGCCAGAGTGCAAGTAAACTTCATAACTGACTGTCACGAGTCAGTCCGGGTGCAGTAAATTAGCAAGTGGCTCAGGCACTCTAGTCTAGGAGAAGAGTAAAAAAGGAGTGTGGCTGCAGCACTGGGAACAACGGTCCTTGAGTGAAAGTAAACAAGTCCATTGTTTTCTGACTTTGCCAAACCTCAAAGTGTAATGCTAGAAGGAAAAATAAGTTTTACAGAATTGAGCATATACAACCCTTTTCTTCCCTTCATAAATTGTATGTTACACTAGTTGAAACTACTGAAGTGTTTACAGTATGCTATATATATAATGGCACATTTAAGCTTTTTAAAGGGATCGGAGCATTTCAGAAATGTCTCTGGTGCTGAAAAAAGCTAATGTATTACAAATCATATAATATTTTAATTCAGAAAAAATATGTTTGGGTATTTTGACCTAGCATCATAAGGGTTAGGAAACCGAACGAGGATGCCATGAAGCATGACTGACGAATCAGTCGAGCTAGTCTGCTTCAGATACACATTGTGCAAGGCATTATCGCTGCAATCAGTCACAAAAATGCATATTTAGTTTTTGTACATTAAATACTACACCTGTGAACCTATGTAAAAGATATACAAAATATAAATGTCATCAGGACTGTATATTTCAAAGTTTTTAAAATAAACACAAAGTATATATATATGTAGGCATATAGGTTGTAATTTCAATGTCAACACTAGCACAGTTTGTCTCTTCTAAATACAGACCTGTATACTTCCTAGTCCAACACATGCACCTACAAACACATGATCATGCATACAGCTTCACGTTCTGCTGTTTGCAGAAGAGTCAGAATATACAGCACTATACATTGTTTCAACTCAAAATTGATTGGCAAATTAAGGAAGATGCCATTCAAAAGAAATTCCTTGTGAGCTATTACCAAAAAAACAGAGAAAACCAGGGGTACGGTTATTTTATCTCAATAAAAACACTGAAGACCATGGTGATGATGACCTAAGATTCAAAACACTTTGTCCGGCATGTGGTGGGGGTCACTCTTGGACAAGATACAACAGTGTAGAACTGGTTGCTATAACACATACCGAACACAGTTATAATGAGGCGTAGAGCTTTCACAACACCATCCAACCCAGTCCTGGGTTCAGACTACTGAGGTCTCTGACCGAAAGGAGACAGAGCAGTTGTACGCGGTTCTTCTCACAGCAGGCGGTGCCGACGGTGATCTGGATGCCCATCTGGAAGGTAAGCGTCGATTTGCTGGCCGAGCAGGCCGGGAGAAACCCTTCCCACTTGAACATTTAGCTGGCACAGATATCTACAACACAAAGGCAATTCCTCGCTTTAACAAGTTACGGCTTTTGCGGAATCAGGAATGTAGGAAGACATTTGGGGTGACCTCAAAACAGGTGCTCTGAAGCTATTAAAAGGAGCACAGTAATGCGCAGAATGCAAAAGAACAGCTATTTCTATGTATAGGGATTCTCACATTGGTTGCGGTTTAAAATATAGGGAGACAAGTGTCAGACACAAGGAAAGGTATAAAATGTTAATGCAAGACAAAACTGACATTCACCTCTCATTTCTTTTCATTTTTGGAAGTTTTTTTGTCAACGAACACTGTATACTGAACGTAGAACTTGGAATACCATCTTACATTACTGGAGTATGATCTACATACTTGCCAGGTATTTTTTGATAGATCCTATTTCAGCAGTCACATTTTGCTAAGAACTCTGTTTCCATTAGTGCAACGTGAAGCTATTTACACTTGGTAACTAATTCAGAATGGCTATGTATTAATGCAGTGTCATGTCTACATGCAGAGCCTTATATACACAGGAAAACCAATAGATTTTGATCATATCTACAGTGATGTAAACTGGAAATAATGAAAATAAACCGAATGCCGAATGCCGTGTGTAGTTCTTTACATCTTTGTGACATGAATGCTTCTGGACCTAAAATGGTCCAGGACTCTCTAATCAGGCAATATTCTACACTTAGTTTGTACAGATAGAAATGACAACATAAAGTTTGAGCCTATGGAGAAAAAAATCCAATTGGCTCAGTAAAGTTATTCTGGGATTACTTCAATGTAAACTCAGTCATTATCTAGTCATTGATGAAAATTTGTTTTCTATCAAAAGTTCATTAGATTAGAAAGAAATCAGAAGTTTCATGTTTTTTTCTTTCTGTGCAGTAGTAAAGATGTGTCTGCTAAGCAAGATGTTGCATCACTGCAAGGCTGTCAGAAAGACATGCAGAAGAAAATCTGCATGGTCGGATTCTCAGCTGTTTAAATCCACATACCTCCACTGAAGTCTGTGAATTTGTGACAGTTTAAAGCATACCAGCTGACAGGCTGAACCCATATAAGTTTCTCAGCTCCAAACACATTTGCCTTCTCTTTTCTGAGACGCTAAGGGGCATATCTCTTTGTGTTCGTTGGCCAAGGAGTTCTTCAGGACAAATGATTTTTCTTTCTTTGTGGCCTTTTACAGAACCTGCAACTTATAGTGTATTTTCAAAACCATCTGTTTCTTTTTTCATTAAGAAAGAATGTTGGCAAAGACAATATCTCTAAACTTCTACAAATAAAATTCAGCCAAATATAAATTAATTAGTCATGCCATACTCTTCTGTTTCTGTGAGCCTATGCTTGAATATATAGGAGAGGCCTGGAACTGAGACATGAGTAAGAGGTCACTTTATTAGTGGAAACTCTGTGAAGCTATAGTACCCCTTTTCAGAGGCAGTTCCAATGAAATCCTGACCCAAGCAGCACCCTGGGTGCTGAAAAATGCTATCTAAGGCCTCTAAGATTTTGATATGCCAAGTGTGCTTAAGCCTTTTGGGAAGGCTTCTGAAATAACTTGTCAGCTAAAGGAAGGAGGGAGGGAGTTAAAACTTGACTGCAGTTCTCACTAGTTCAATCGTCAAATCACTGCACTGCAGTTAAAATCTAGCTTTACGCAACAGCAGCAGAGCAGAATCTGGCACACGTCTTCACTGGTCATTCTTACTTACATGCTTCTGCCCTCCCACAACTCTATTATTTTGAGAGGAAATACTCCTGATTCGTCCAGTTTCTGGCCTGAAGTGTCTATTTTTATATAATTATTTACAATATCACATTTTAGAATCTGAAGCTTGGTATGAAACTGAATAATTTTGTTCTTGCCAGTCTTATGAACCTTACCTCTGGTAACTTCTGTCTCTCTTTTCCTTGCTTGAGTTGCTGCCCAATGTGCCTGGCTGAATTCCTCGGAAATTCTTGCTTTCCTTGCTCAATCTGGAGCATTTCTAAATACTGACTCAATGTCTCACAACCCCCATCAGTAAATTCAGAATTTGCCCGTGTCCACTTATCTTTGCAGCATTTCACATTAAAGGGAGAAGTCACAGTTGATTTTTCATAGTTTTTCAAAAGCTTTTCAACAACACCATAGTTCGACCTTGAGTCAGCTGAACGCGGGCGACCGGATAAATTACTTGGTCTCCAGTCATGCTCGTGAAGCATGTGCCTATAACCACTACTATTTGGAAGTCCATTTATTTGCCTTTGTGGCCCTGCAGTTCTGACAGCTTTGCTGGGGTTGCTAGTTTCTTGCTCCTTTGCTGCAGAGAATTTGGGATTTGAAACACAAGATGTATTTACAGTTTCTGTCCTGCTAATAGCAGAGTCACGCAGTGGCCCGCAGGGTTTGTGATCTTCTGATGCTGTTTGAGGCACCTGGTTTTCTTGCAAAGCATTGTTACATTTACCTGTGTGAAATACAGTCCGGTTAAACTCATCGATCTTTGCTGCTAAAGTTTCATTTCTTTGGGTCTTTCCCAAAGTATACCTAGAGTCTTCCAAAAGATCATTGTGCAGGGTAGCAGGGGCATAAAAGTCATTACTGTAATAAGGGCTGCTGTGAGACTTGGGATTTTGTTTCTGGTGCATCTCGTTGCTTTGGGCCATATTTCCATCTGAACAACTCTTTTGGGCTGACAGTGAGGAAGGTTCACTTTTCTTGTCTTTTCCAAGTTTGCCCACATCGTATGCCCAGGTGTTGTGGCAGAAACTTGTTGGTACATTGCACTCATTTTTGGTTACAGGCATCGCAGCAGTTACCATCACAGGACCTTTCACAGCCTGCCCTTCATTTGCACAGGCTCCTGCAGTTGCATTCTGGTTTACAGGTGAAGGATTCATCAGTCTCCTTCCACTCCTACAGTCCTGAGCCTTGCAATTGCTTTTGATGCCTGGATCTCTTATTGGTGCTTCAGAAAGCTGTATAACTGCAGAAAGTGAATTTGTTAGGTGCCGAGAAGTGCTCCGTGGAGGAACTGGTGGAGCTTCTTTCTTTTGCCAAGGTCTGAAGTCTGTTTCTCTGTCACCAGAAAGACCACCATAAGACATGTCCTTCAAAGCCTTGGTGGAGCTCATCAGATTCTTCCTATTATTATGTTCCTCTGTTTCAAAAGCAACTGAAGTGTGTGATTCATTGCTGGACACATGGTTCATCTCAGGCAGAATAACTGTGTTTTGTGTTTCCTCAAATTCCCCCAGGGAAGGAAGTGACTTCATTCTGGAAATAAAAGGAGAGGTGTTTTAGGGATGAGCAATGAGGGTACTCCCCCAGGGGACCTCAGCGTGGATTCATTCTCCCCACAAGCAGGTGTTTTAACACTAGCTGCTTAAAAGGACTTGGGAGCAGTTTTGCTGCAGCTGATACACCCAGTATATTTGAAACATACGTGAAGAATTTGAAGAAAGCTCAACAAAAGGCAGCTTGCATTCCTTTCCCTTGCCACTAAAATTCTTTTTCTGAGTTTTTTGTAGATGATTGCTTGTTTTCTTACGTATCCTGCAGTAAGGACAGTGGGATCTTGTGAGTTCTAATGACTCCAGTGAGAGTCCACCCGACTATGAAGTGAATGGAGAAAGCTTTAGGAGACAGTGCATCCCGTGTGTAGGTTTCCTAACATTACACATGACAGTACAAATGTATATTTTGAGATATGTTCAAAAATCACCTTTCTCAGCCAGGATTTAGAAACTATGCATCAGCTGTGATCTATTTGCTTTACAGATACAAACAGTAACCTGCTACGATAATAAATTAGTGACAGACAGCCAACTGATTGCATGGGGGAGTGCAGTAAGTCCCTCTGCTCTTTGGGAGTATCTGAGAAGAGCTTGCCATGATGCAGGCTTCCATGAGGTCTCAGCATAGCTGAGATATAGCCTTTCTCAATCTCTTCCACGGTGTGCACCCTGTCACACCACAGGTTCAGTCTTACCTTCTGAGAATTCTGCACAACTCGAGAGGAAGACTGGTGTTTAGCTTGCTAAAGGAGACCATGACCATTGAATTTTTAACAGATGGCGGGATGTTCATTTGCCGTACTTTTCAAGGTCTGGTTTACCATCTTTCCAATAGTACAAATGTATGGTTGTTCTTGCTTCTCTTGCCTTCTTTGCACTCTTGGATTGTAGTCCCTGACACATCCCCCACACTTAAGGCTAGATCCAGGCTTAATATAAGAAACCTCCCAACCTAACAAACCCATGGAAATGGGACCAAGGCAGACAGAAATATCTGATTATTTTCCTAATCCTCTATATAGCCATTAGAAACAAGTATAATTTCATCTCGTATAAATACTATTTTCATTTTGTAGGTTCTATAGATAAACTCCATTTTTCTAGTAAAACATACCCTTGTATCCTATTTCAGAGTATTTTATCTGAATGTTTTATGCTGAGCATGGAAACACTAAAAGGATAGGAATTGCCCATATCCCAATAAATTCAACAGCAAAACGCCCCTCAGAGTGAACAGGAGCACAGTCTCATTATTCATTTTCTTCCTCTAATATAAAGAGTCCAAATATGTTTTTACCTTCTGTGGTTGGACTTCTTTCGAATTTCCTCTTGATAGCTGCATAATTCTTCACTGACTCTGGCAAGTTCTTTAAGAGCCTTTAGAAATATAAAACCAGTTCTTTAATATAAGCCTTTTAAATGGTATCTCCAGAATTATTTTGAAACTTGTGATGATTTGCATTTAAGACTCACAGCAGAGGAAAGCAGCACAAGGAAAGAGACAAAAATGCCCCCCGGTTATGAATGGAGGTAAAGAGCATGCTGACAACACATTTAAAGAGACTCATCAGTAACAAACCGAGGAGGATGCAGAGATGGTGCCTTGCTGGAAACCTAAAATCAGGGAGATCAGTTCTTTAGGTTAATCTGGCAGGCCAAAGCCCTCCGTATTTTCCTCACCCTTGTAACTGAAACACACTCATACTTTACTTACTACATTGAGATCACCAATGTAATTCTTAGCATTTTTCTTGGAAGTTTTGATACTGAGGCTGTCTTCAGGTTCCTCACAGTTCTCAAAGGCCAGATTGTCCATTAACAGAGTATTGTTTCTGCTCTTGGCTCTGGTTTCTTTACATTCGTATCCTGTTTTACTGAGCAAACTCCCTTTTTCCATCCTGTCATTTGCCATATTGTGTTGATAGTTTAGCTCCACTGTGTCACTCTCTTCCAAAGTAGGGGAATGCATGGACAGCTGCAGCATCTCACTCTGAATGGCCTTATTATCATGGACGTTCATATTGCTCTCCCTTCTAAGTTTTACCTCCTGGTAAAGCTGAAAAAACAACAGAACCTTCTATTAAATCATGGTACTGTGATGAACTTTATGGTAAAAGAACATACTCATCTTCTGTTCTGAACGATGCTTCACTCAGTAGCACTAAGTAGAAAGATTTTCTACATGTGTTAGAAGAAAAATATTGAGTCACACAGTTTGATAGTTCACAGACCGTTATTGTCACAGGATGAGGAAAGGGCTGGTACCATTCACAAACTCTTTGCTGTGGTTTTAATGTATGGCTTCCACCCATAGGATGGGATTGGAAGAGACCTCATGAGATGAATGGCCCTGCCTTGAGCCAGAAGCTGTATGGTCGTCTTCCAAGTGGTATCAGAGCAGTATGTGATGGACACAGCCCTGATCTGATGGATGGAGAATGTGAGGGAAGGAGAGGGCTCTGGCTATGTTACAGCCTGTTAAAGTATATTAGTTTAAGGAGGGGAAAGGAATTCTCATCACATACAGAGCCGTCTGCACTACAGCAGACTCTTCTGGTTCTCAGGCAAGTGGAATTCTTCCCTATGACTGGAGTGATAAATCAGTACTGCAGAATGGTATTATTTGGCAATGTGCTGTCACTCTCTTCTTTCTTTCTATCTGCTGAGATCCAGTGGCTTCATTAGTAATGAAAAGGTGTTAATTCCTGTCACCCAGCACATTCAAACTAGGGAACTGTGATAAATTATAAATGAGAAAAAATAGCAACATCATAAAAACCTCTTCTGCTTACAGTATCATTTCCAGTGCCAAGAATCCCACAGCGCTTTATAAACATTCATTCTTAACTTGCTCTTATGTAAAGCGCAGAGCAGGCACCTCTGAACAGCCATCTGCCTGCTCTCGCAGTGCACAGGGCCATCACAACAGCTTTTGGGAGGACAGTGAAAAAGAATAACAACATGAAGAACACGTGGCCGTTTCATGGGTAGTGCTATGGATTAGAAGTATTCTCACATTCAGAGACTTGACACTTGACTCTTCTTGGGCTTTCAGATTTCACTCCCAAAGCCCAGCTGTTCATGGAACCTGAGGGCTGAACTTTGTCATTTCCAAGAAATGAGGGCCTCATACGGCCTCAGCATCACAGTAAGAAGGAATGAATGATTCCACCTCATAACTCAACAAATCATCTCCTAAACCACATAAGTCTTCCTGGAGCAATCCAGGAATTAAGTAAGTTTTGGTGGGCTAGAGAAAACTACCGAATAAAAATACAAGCTGATAAGGTAGCACAAGTTTTATTGAGGAAACCCCTCTACAAATGATGGCATGGAAAATGTATTATCTCGTCTGTTCTCCAGCCATGTGGCTTTTGGCAAAAAAATATCAGGCAACTGAAATCAAGGGCAACTACAGACACAGCTTAAGAGGGGACCTTAAGATACTGATAATCTTGAAGTATCATCTGCAGTTTTGTCTAGTCCTGCAGTCCACAGCAATTTGCTTCATTCTCTTCCCCTCAGCCTCATTCCATTCTTTATCTCTTTTTCTGTCTCTAATCCATATGCTAACAAAGAACATGGCAAAACCATGGTCTTCGCTGCCATTGTCAGGACTACTAATAGCCAGAATACCTTTTCACAACACATTGCCATCATTCCAAAACAGCTCATATACCTAACAAACTGAAATTCAACGACTCACACAGATCACATTACTAACTTTTGAAGCGCTCTCACCTTGGTGGTGAAATTAAGTAAGACTGCACAGAAATGTCCTAACACAAAAGACAAAATGTGGCAAAGACTATCGTAGCAAAATCTGTAAGAACTGCAGGTAAAATATAAGAGTTGACATTATGGAGTTATGCCACAGGCAGGTTTAATGCATAGTGTATGGCTGCAATTCATTTGGCTCTGATCATTTTCCTTCTCATACTTTCATGTGAACAATCTCTGCCGTACATTCCTGTGTTGCTCAGCCACAGGGCAGTGTTGGCAGAGAGCAAGCAAAACTACTTCATGTGTATATTAGAATGAAAAATGTGGAAAGCTCAGTGGTGAAAAAACTTGCTTCTATACGTTGCCAAAGCAGATTCAATTTATGCATTACAGAGTGCCAGAGGGTTCTGCTGCAGAGACAATTTGGGGATAAAAGAATAATAAATAATTACCTTCACTGTTTCTGGAAGGAGTTGCATTACAAATGGCAGGGAGTGAGTGTTTGTTAGTATGTGTAAACACAAGTGGTGTCAGGACTTTCATGCTATTTACCATAGCTGTTTTCTCTACTAAAAGCCATCCATAAATGGAGCAGGTTCTAGCCAGAACGATTCTGCATCATGCAGCGTTTAACGTATGATGTTCTTTTTAATATTACCATTTACTGCAGCAGATTTGTGCCATCTAATTGCTTTTTGCCAGAGAATTATGATACCTAGTTTTTTTGTTACTAAATATACATTTTCCTAACCCCCACATAGGCAGTTGTTCAACACGTACTTGAAAAAAACATGTATAATATGAGCAGTGTGGCTTATGCCCAGCAGAACTGGCAGCAGTACGTACAGCCAACAATATCATAGCAAACTTCATACAAAGTGATATTTAACCTCCCGCTTCGTATTCATGACTGTTAAATGAGCAATTGCAAATACTGCTGAAACTCAGGCTTCGCATCCTACCATTAGCTATTAGAAACTTCCAATGACACATAAGAAATAGGATATAATTCAGAAAAACAATAAATTGAAGTCACCCCTAGTCACTTCACCCCAAGTGAAAATGTTAATGTTCAGAGTTTTGCTTAAAAGTACCTCTTCTATTTTCTTCTGCATGACTTTCCATTGACATTCCCATTCTTTCCTTTCATTGTCAAATCTCTCCAGCAATTCCATCTTCTCTTTATTCCAGTTCCAATCAGTATTCTCCAGTTGTTTACGCAGGTCCATGGCTACAGTCTGTGCAACAGCAAGAAGATAGCTCTGCTTTTTTTCTTTCTTCCCTGAATGTTTCCTGGAAGTTTGTCAGAATAAGTCTTATTTGTGTTTGATTCTAGCTTTCAGGGGAAAAAACAACCAAGCAACCCCCCAAAATAATTAACTGAAATGTGCTTGCAGGAGACAGCATCACACGATCGCATGATATATATCTGGAGCGTGACTAGAACATGGATGAACTAAGTGTTACAGGACACAAACCCAAGGGCAGAGAGGCCCGGTCTGGAAAGGGGAGGAGGGACATGCATCCAGCATCACAGCGTTCAGGAACGTCTCCCACAGCGGGCTCTGTACCATGGCCACGTCACATCTTTGCCATTACTCTTCACTATAAACCTGTTTTCAATGAAATTCAAGTCTGCGTGATATTGAATGGACCTTGGGATCCTGCAACGTCTGCCCTTGAGGGTGAAAGCTATTTTTACGTTTGTTCAAAAGACAACTGCAAGTGTAAAGGGATCATGTTTGTTTAAGCACTCCTTTCACACATGCATGTAGCATGACAAAGACTGTTACATTTTTTTGGCAATTGAAGGCTGTAAACTTGATACATGCAGAAAATTCTCATGGCTATATGAATGCTTTAGAATATGTGAGGAAAAACAGGACAGGAAACGTAATAACAGGTAACAAACATACATATACAGTAGAAAGAATCATTCTACTATATAAGGGACTATAGGTCACTATAAAGACTTCATGTATTTTGGATTTACAAATCTAAATGTTAGTTCCAGGACCAGCATAGGTAAAACTAGAAACTATTCTCCAATAGCACTAAGACAAATCTAGTTCAAAACCTTGCTCAGAATATTTAGCTAATTTGTGCTTCAGTTTCTCCTTTCCCTTCAGAAGTCTTTAACATCTTAGTACCTGTGAATGAAGAATTATTAACTGAACCTCTAAATATGTATATTTTAAGGGAAATATTTTGGATTTTGTTATCTGACTTTGCAGCAAAACAGTTACAGATTTTATGGGCCTGGTGTTCCTCTCGCTTTCTTAGGCTTTACAATAGAAACTCCACTACCATCAGCACGTTTACTATGCCAGCGAGGTCGAAATAACACTCATTCATTCAGTTATGATGGCTCCTGTGGTACAATGGCTGGTACACACCCATTGATACTTGAGTTTGTTAAGTTTGGGTCTCAAAGCCAGCTGCCGTGTCACTTAGGTGGACATGGAATCTAATTCTACTCACAAAATGCCTCTGCATTGCTTTGGTCTCCTGACAGAAATCCAGCATATGGGCAGGCAAATGAATTATCAGAGAGTTAACTAGGGGTAAGCCCAGTTTACCTTCCCAGAATTTGTTAATTGCCCTGACTGATGGTCAGTGATTGTCAACTCACAGGAACCACCCATTTTATCACCTACATTTTCTTTGATAGAGTGAAAATTCATTCTTGAGCTTCATGCAAAGTTCTTCCCCATCCTGTATTTTACTGGACAAGTCTTGTTGATTCAGCTGTGGCTACTGTGTAATGACTGCTTACCAGTGTCTGCGTTATTTCAGCTGACTGGGAAGCTGATGCCAAACTTGGAGTCAGCTTCTTTCGTGAACAAGTACGCAGAAGAGCTCAGCTGAAGCCCAATGAGTTACTCAGGTCTTTGGGTCATAGGAAGTCGTGCTACAGGATCTCTCAACTGACAGCCATCGTGGGCCCAAACCTAACTCAGGGGTTGCAAGACTATTTACCCCAAGCAATTTCGGATCGAGGACTTAGAGAACAAGCTGAGTATTCTTCAAACATCTCTGTCAGCCCGTTTCACAACGGTGTAACCATGTCACCACGTAACGTGGTACTGGAGCTTATTCTTTCAAACTCTGACTCACACCTGCCTGGGAGCTCTGAAATGGCAATCTGTCCCTCAACCATTTACAAACAAATTTCAGACCTTTCTTCTTCCACCTGCCTAAAAACATACAGGGAAGCTTTATGAAAACATAAAACTCCTTGAAACTAAGAGCTGCTGAAAGACAGCACAGCATTCTCGTCACAAAAGAAGTGAAGCACTGGTTTGTTCATGGCTTCTTAGGGAAGGCAGTCAGGCTATAGAGACTGCACCACACCAGGCCAACGTTTCAGCTTTGTGCCAGACTTCAGTAAGTGTTGACCAAAAACAAGTTACAAAAAGATTCCACTGCACTTACGACCTGTTGCAATCTAAACATCTATTGCTAATGAACGTTAAAACTGTTTCAATACTTTCTCACTTTGCTAATTCAAAGGTTGCAATTTTTAGTAGTCACTTGCTTTTTTGCCTTTTTTTTCTTTTCTTTGGCTACATTTGTGTCTTTATAACCTTTCAAGACATCTCTGAGAAATAAACAAAAGTTAACGCTCTGCTCCACTAGAATCCTCCAAATACATGTCAGAAAGAAATAAAAAAAACATAAACTCTGTAAAGTCATGAAAAAGACAAGCAGGCAAAATCTGTCAACAACTTGCACAAATGGTGATTTTGCTAGTGCACTATTAGTAATAATGACCATGCTTCAATCAATTAGCAGCATGTTACTAGGAAAAAAGTCAATACCATATAGCATTATTATTTTTTTTACACATAGAAGAATAGATATGTAATATGTACTCCTTTCAAGCATGCATATAGCATTGAAAAGGCCTCTGGTGGTTTCTTAGTGCTGGTAACAACTATGGCCATGTTTGCATTCATCTTAACAATTTCCAGGTTGTTTCATGTGGGACTCTGATTATAAAAAGAAATTGGAAACCATCAAAATGAAATCAAGTCTCAGAAGATGTTAGTTACAGAAGTTACAGAGAGTCACTTGTAGCTCTAAGATCCACACAAAGCTTGTATTGCTTCTTATGCTTCTCCAATTTCCTCTTGACATAAATTCCGAGAAGAAAACTCATGTTTATTGATGTTAGCAGCTGGATGACTATACAGTTTTGCTGATATTGTACAGTGGATTCATTCCTCAGAGAGTTTTAACTCCTGTTTCTATGACTCTTTCCCCTTTTCTGTTGTTGGTTTGTTGGGTTTTTTTGCTTGTTTTTTTCCCTACTGGCAATTAAATCCAATTCGTACTCCTGGTAGTATACCTTTTGTCTGTATAGTGCACCAAGATGTCCCCATGGGTATTTCACATGGCTTAAGCAACTCAAAGTGATGTAAAATGCCACATTATAATTTGCTGTGTGGATCAGAACACTATCTGTGCTCTTGCAGCATTGGCACTTTCTGCATGTCCTAGACAAGGTCAGAAGCTCATTACAGCAATCAAATTCAAGCAAATAATCAATTTTGTCTACATCAGCTGCATTTTCCCTTAACTTTTCCTTTAGTCCTCCCTCCTTTCAAGCAAAAAATGCTTTAAGCAATTATTTGATGTTAATGTTATTATTCCCCCTTGTCTCACTCGTGCCCTTTCTAGCCTCATACTAAAAATGCAAAATAGTTTGCAACCAACCTCTATCAACTTCTGAAAATAATCTGCAGTGACATCAGCTGAGATGTTATTTTTCAACACAGATTAATTAGATTGGATGTGCACAACCGTTCAAATACACAAATCTTCCCTTGATTTTACAGAAAAAAAAAGTGATTGAATTATATTTCCAACAAAGTGCTGTATTTTGGATCACTAAGGAAATTGTAAATTTGTGTATTTGTTCAGTTCTAAAAGTGTGCCATGTGTCACAATACTGTGCACTTTATATATAAAAAGAAACTACAGTTGAGTGAGAGAGTGAAAGAGAGAGAAAGGAAAGAGAAAAAGAAGGGAGGGAAGAAAGAAAGAAAGAAAAAAGGAAGGGGGGGAGAAGGACAGAGAGTTGAGTGCTCACAATGCTACCTGTCATCCCTGTTCTGTGGATACATCTCTGCCTGCTCTGAAGCTACTGACTGAACTAATGAAGAATCTTTCTCTAAGAATAAAGACCATATATAACATACACGAACACCCCATTACATATAATTAATGTTAGAGAGATGTTTAAATAACTGTTTGCCACATTAGTAATCAGCTTTCTTTTTCAATCTTAACTGTTCAAGACCACTGATTTAAAATAAACCGTAACCATACCTTTCATGGAATAAGAAATCCTGTAGAAGTTTTTCAGTCCATTTCTAAACAGCAGTGAAAGCAATGAAATGCATAGCTAGCTGGGATCCAGTTCTGTGACTCTCGATCTTTAAAAGAAATAAGAAAGCTAAGCAAGGCACAACCTTTCAACTGGGGCAGCATTTGCAACTCTCTTTGAATAACTCCGCAACTTTTGCAAACTGAAAAACAGTTCCGTTCAGCATCATCCCAGCAGCTGGCTTCCACGTGACGTCAGTGCACGGAGGATGGTTTTAAAGCCATCTCTTCCAACCCCCAGCTCTGTAACTTTATATCTCCTCATATTTTGTGTAAACAACTCCAAGTCCAGGACATTTTTAGGTTTTATAGTGCAGTCCAGTCTTTAAAGCTTGCCAAAGCAGCCAGTGTTAATATTAAAGCTATGACAATAGGCAATTTTAAGTTTCTTTTATTAGCGTCCATGTTGTAAAGGAAGATTCTTTGCTGCCTTCCAGACCCAGTTTTCAGGGTTGTATTTTTTAGTATGATCATTTTGAGCTTTGCAACTCGATCCTCACAAACTGCTTTGTAAAGGGAGGTTGTTTAAAGCAGCAGTTTTGTTGCTTAACAGCTATCTTAAAGAGCTAAATGCAAACCGCTCCTCCCTAAAATATTTTTCTGTGTTCTAAATATGCCATCACTTATGAAATGCAGAATTATTGGGCACTGTGTAAGCCTACTGTCTTGCATTCTGGGAATGGTGATAAAGGTTTCTTTGGGATATACCCAAATATTCCTGCTATTTTATAAGGTTTCTGGATCAGATTCTCCAGTCTGTTAAGACACTTTGTCTCAGCAAAGCAAAGCGCTTGCAGTTGGATGGAGAATCTCCCTTGCGCAGGGAAACTCATCCCTGGCGTAAGGCTAGCAAGGAAGGTCCAAAAGCACCTCGGCCTGGATTTAAAGCACTGGGAGTGCCCATAGCAAGTGTCGGCATGGGGTGAGGGAAGGGAGCATATGTGACAAAAATGATCCAGCAAGTGAAAGTCCACGGGAGACCCTGAAGCCAGCATAAGGAAATTTAGCTGCTCCCCCTGCTGAGCCGCAGGCACGAGGAGCTCAGCTGGCTCCTTGCGTCTCTGCCCACCACAGTAACTCTCCTGTTGCACTGTGTGTAAAATTACTTTCGTTTGGTACAGAAAGAGACCTCTGGGCAGAAGCTTCATGCACATACCACTGCCCTGCTGGGTACTTGTGCTTGGATGTGTCTGTGGACCGTGACTGAGATCACTCAGAGTCATAAAATTCACATTTCAGGGAATATTTGTCCCCACATGTACCTGGAGAAGGGCCACAAAGTACTCGACTCACGCAGCATAAAACTCTGGACAAATTCTGCTATTAGATGGGTGTCTTCGAATGCACTAACCAGGAGTGGTGTATATTTTTGTGGGCAGAGCAGCTGATGACAAGAGGATCAGTGAGATGGAGGACATGATATGAGGATTCACACATCCTTTACTTAGTCAGCACTCTCCTCTTCAGAGCAGTAAGGTTTTATCTGTGATAAAATCCATCCACAGCATAAAGATTTTAGCTCTGAGTGCATTTTATAGTAAATATCAAAGCAGGTTTCAGGGAAAACACATTTTTTTCTCCTTATATGGTCCAGCTGTAAGTCTCAGTGAACACATTACTGGGGTGGTTATTCTGCTCCCATGTAACATAAATAATGGGACTTGGGCTATTTGTGAAAATTTCAAAGATGATCTAAAAATTGAACAAAGATGCCCAAGTACATGACTGAATGTTCCTGAAGAAAATCCCCAGCCTCTAAACTCTAAGGATTTAAAACCAAAGCAACAGGTGACTTTCTTTTGGGAGGTTACATCCCAACATGCCAACTGAGATGGCCAGGAGCGAAGCCCGAGCGCCTGGGAGCAGAACTGAGCCCACAGCTGGAGGCCAAGTGCCACAGCCCTGCCTCGTCCCCAAAGCCAGCACAGCTGCACCACTGCAAATGAAGACAGATTATGAAGACATGGTTTTTAACTCTTATTCATCAGCATAGGCTATTATTCTTCTGTCTTTAATATTGCTAACTCAATGCCCCTTGTCTTGTTATGCAAACTCTTTGAAGTAAAACACAGTAAAATTAAAGAAAACAATGGACTAAATCCCAGGCTGGAGTTTTCACTCAGGCAAAACCCTACATTTCCGTCAGTGTGAAGAATTAGAAAGGTGTGAGACTGAGGGGCTTATTAGGAGACAAGAGCTGGACTCCACTCATAGGTCAAAGGGCCATGTTAAACTCATCCTAATACAGGAAGGGCAGAGAAAAGTTGGGACAAAGAAAATATGAAGCAAGCTCTAAAAATCTGGGCTCATTGTTCCAGACACCCTTAAGTGTAGCAGTAGTTAGCTTTGCTTTTGAGGAAAAAAAAATATCCAACGGAGACTGTCCCTCTTCCAACAGCAGCAGACAAAGCAGCAAATGTGGCTTTCTGGCCTCTGGCACAGGCAAAATCACCAGGAAGGCTACTGTAGGTTTATTACATCCCACACACTGCTGCCACATGCAAAGTGTGCTTTGTCCATATCTGGCATCAGCTCTGCTCATGTTAAAAATCAGCACCTCAACAAAAAAGGTGGAAGGGCATTTTAAACAAGCCCTCTGCTAAATTTCTCTTCATCATGCAAGACTGAAGAGAAAGGAGCATGAGTTTCAGCGTGGGCTATAATCTGATTATGTACTCAGGGTAGTGTGTATTCTGGTTAACAGTCTGCGCTCAAGATCATTTTAGAGCATCTTCAATTCTGCTCTACTAGCTTGGTTATGGCACACCTATCTTGCTATGTCCACATAAATTTGGTAACAAGAAGGAAAACCAGCACTGCTGCCACTGTAATCAACCCAACCACAACATTTGATTCCTGAATGATGTACACCTTGCCAATCCTGGCAAATACATCTCAGGGGTGGGTGTATAAACTGGGAAATGGGGAGAAGGGAATACAAATTCTGTCTCCTCTTACTATTGTGCACTTCTGCAATAGTATAGAACTTAGGGCAGAAATAGAGCCAACAAAGCGTTATGTCACTTCTCCAAGGTTACACTGGAAATCAGTGGCAGATACTTTAGATGTTTACTTTAAATAGAGCCACTGTAATTTTCCCCATAGGCAACTGCATGTGTAATGGCAAAAGTTGGGTTTGAATATCACTTCCCCTGGCATTAAATCAGAGACAGAAATGTAAGCCAATGGGAATAACGTCTCTGATACTGATGCCTTTAGACGTCTCCTACTCACCTATCAAATTCTGGGGTGATTCAGGGGAAGGGCATTTAATACCCTAAAGCTCTGCTTGTTTTCATAAACAACTCCCAAAGTTCATGTGCAGTTCATCTCTTTTTATAACACATATTTAGACAGCCATGTTTTTGGCAATTTTCTATTTTCCGACTGCCAGGCATATTTCTGCGCTATAGCACCTGCTCTCTTCTAGTTTTGTTTCTGAAGCACTGGTGACATGTGTCAGCAGACACTTACTCTATCCCGAACTGGAGCTTCAGGCATGGATATTTTTGGTTGAAAGAAATATCTCTGATCCTGGAGAAGATCATCATTCTAGTATCATGGGAATTTTTCAGTAACAGTAAAGAAAATATTTGTAGAGGTATTTTGTCAGGGCATTCAGAGCTGACTCTAAATAGGAAACAAATTTAATTGAATTTATCTGGTTGTATTAAAGGTAAAAATGCATCTATTTTCTAAATGACCTAAAAGTTCACTGGAGATACTGCTGATTTACAAAAGTGTAAAAATGTCAGTATTAGATCTATAGATGCAAGATCTCTTCTTTCTGAAAGAACACGGAATTAATTCCCTCAGAAAACAGGAAACAGAAATTTAATCTTTCAGAGAAACGTAAAATTAAGGCAATCTCAGGGTTCAAACTCAACGGCATTTTGCCAGAATATTCCAAAATGGGAACTGTGAATCTGCTCTCGGTATAACTGAGATTTGAACTGATAGGTAACCTGGCATATCCAGCTTGTTGCCACATAAAAGCAAAATCTTGTGTTTTTCTTATTGTGACTTCAGAATCACAAACGATGCAGCAGAGAGACTAGTGAGTCAGCAGTGTTCTGTCTGTCCCGGCCCTGCCTGACTGCCCCGCGCTCCTGCTCGAGGATGCGGACGTGTTCAGCTGCATTTACTCGCTCACCTGTGAGGGGGACTTTGCCCACCAGGCCAGTGAGTGGGGAGAATCTGCTTCCTTTCTTGGCAAGTATAATTATTACATTTCTTTGTGAGACCAAGTTATTTCAACTTAGCAAGACACAGAACGCTTATTTCTTTGGCTAGATGTTACCTTCTGGGTATGGATAGATGTCCATACTGATTTTAATAGCTTTCTCAGCAGCTTTTAAAACAGTGAAAAACGGAGGACTGTGAATTTCTCTGCAATATCTGGTGCGAAACAGATAAGCAGCTCCAATCACTCCCTTCAAGTTGAATGCAGAAGGACATGAAAAACACACCTCGTTTCTCACTGAGATTTCTCTGTACTGAGATTTGCAGAGGTCCTCACCGTTCTCCTTGCTCATCACAGATTCAAAGACTGCGGGGAGCTTCTAAAATGATTTTGTATGCTTCGGTATGCTTTAATTGCAGATTGTAGCCTGTGCAATAGCTCCCCAAATGTCCCAAAAGGTCTCAGCTTTGATTTGCTTTGTTGATGCCTGACAGAAATAGGATGAGGAAAGCTCCAGCTATATGCAAGAAAAAACACTGTGAGAAATCAATGGGGTTATAACTGCCAGTCCTGTGCAGAGGTTATCTCCATCTTTTGCCTCAAGAAGTTCAACCTCACCTTTTCTGATTTCTAAGAAGTGAATCTTTCCCATTTACTTCCAAGATGTATTCAATATACAAATTCAGTGCATTAAACTTTTCTACGGCTTTGCAGTAGTACTGTTACTGATACACTCAATGTCAATCAAACCCTCTCTACTCAACTTTATTACACACAAGGCTGAGAAAGGTATAAATCACTGTGGGTTAAAATCTGAAAGCCCAGAACTTCAATTTTTTTAAAACTTAATTTAATTTAATTTAATATAGATTTAAGTATGATTTTTGCTCTTTTATGGGATTGACCCAGTAACATTTAAGAAAACCCAAATGATCTTTTCTTCCCCCAAGGGAGACACTAAAACAGAAACAAACTCAAAAAGTCAGTCTCATGCTAAGATTTGATATGACAAGTTTAAGCCTCAAATTATGACACTTTTAATGTCCAAATTGCAAATCCATGGGGAAAAAAAAAATAAATCTCAAGCAGTTGCTGAAAAGTTTCTTAACAGCAGTTGCTGAGAGAAAAGCAGCAAAAGGGCCTTTTCCCAGTGATTTCAGAACTATCTTTACAGTTACAGAAACTCACTGTGAAGGGATGATATGCTTGACCGTATCTTGCCATGACGGTTTCTAATATGTAGCACTTAACTTTTAGGCAACGGAGCATAAATTAGAGCAGCTTAGAAACTCCTCAAAATTACTTCAGACCTGACTTTCTCTTTAATCAGGACACCAGGCAAGGCTATCTATTAATCTCATATATATTGATTATCATGTCCTTTAGACATATCTTGCTAACTACAAAATAAATAATGACGACAACATCCCCTGGCAGGAATAAGTATTTGGATTAAATCAAGGTTAAGAGATTTAACTGATCAAGATTACACCTGGAGAGTATGCTGAGGGAAAGCTAGACGAAGAAGCAGAAAAACACAAGATTTGTTTAATACTGAATATTGTCAGTTTACTAATTTTTTTGTTCTTATAAAATAAATGTTATTGCCCAACCTCTGCTTCCCTCTGAGGGGTTTCCCTCAAAACGATGTATCATCTCTACTATTTCAGGTAGCAGACCACAATCCAGGCATGGAGGTGAATTGTTCTCACTGCGGAATGGGTTAAGTGAACAGAGTGCTAACATGATAAATCAAAGGGAATCCTTATTGCCAGCTAGGAAAACAGCTGCTTTATTTATTACCGCTATTTATTATTAGATTTTTTATCATGGCATCTGCACAAAAAAATGTCACTTGTAAATGATCACCTTTGGAGAATTCATATGTGTGGGACTAAGTGGTTTCAACATAGGCTGAATAAAACAGAAAACTGAGCTCCACTGGGCATTTCAGACAAGGTTTTCATAGTGGGAGATTTACCGTTTGTAGGAACTGCCTATGTTTGTGTGATAGAAAGATCATGAGTTGCCTGTGCTCTCAGTGCAGCCTCTTGTAAGCAAGACAGGAATATTCAGTGACTGTTGATACACACTTATATACCGAAGCTTTCCTCACCTATGGTCGCTTGCTACCAACGGCATGGTTAGACGAGGGTCACTCAGCAAGCCAAGAGTTACCATGTTCATTCAAAACTCATTCTGAAACCTGGAGAGAGAATCCAGAGCCCTGGCAGCTATAGACTGGAAAATATTATTTGATAAACTAGGTTGTTAGGAAAAGATATTTGACATCAGACAAGGTGACTAGCATCACTCTCTTCAGTTCAAGTCAGACTGTAGCATGGCCATTTTTCGAGAGCACAGAGAGAATGCAGCCAGCCTACATCTCTCAGAAGACTCCTCGCCTACTCTGATACCTCCTCCTCATGCATCTCATTCTTGGGGGCTCCGGCTCCTTGCCACATTTCCAGATATAGTGCTCTATATACCAAACACTCTGATTTTGTCCCCTCAGTGGTGTCTAATCCACATAATACAGTGCTGAAAAACATTATCATCACAATCATGCAAAATATATACAAGCTGTGACATACAATTGCAGAATACACATCGAATGTGGTTTTACTATTCATATGTGGCTAGAATACAAATTCTTTTTCTGGGAGTGGGAAGAGGAAAGGAACAGACTCCTCACACCCACTCTGCATATTTCTGTTTTGCTTCTGATTTGGTGCAAATTAATGAATATTAAATTGGTTCCAGTCACTCAGGACATTTTTATTAAAAAATGATAAAACCAGATTAAGTGAAAAATATCTTTTTCTGTTTGCTTACCTGGAACACCGTGGTGAGTGGGTTTCCTATTCAACTGGGTGACTTTTTGGTATGTTTTTTTGCAGGTTTTTTGGTTTTGGTTTGGTTTTGGCAAACAAGTAGTCTTCAGTGTTTTTACAGCAGTGGCTATTACAGAAACTATGTCTCTTGCACTTCTTATCTTGGAGGGTGGACAAAATAAACAAACTGAAAATAATACTACAATGAACAGTAAATGATGAATGGCTTACAGTACAAAAAACAGTGTAAAAAGGAAGACAAGTTTAAATATTGTTGTGTATGAAAGGGATGAAAATAATACAAGGATGAGAATAAGTAAAATGATAGGCTGGAACATCTGGGAAAGTAAATACAAAGACAAAGAGAACAGTCAATTAATGGAATAGCAAGTCCAAAGTTTCAACAAAATAAACAGTGAATCAAACTGTGCTTGTGGAGGCACCAAGTGCCCATCTCCCATTGACTTCAGTAGGAGTTCTGCATGGTCAAGCCCTGAAATGTCCAATTTCACTATTGCTGTTATTTGTTTAGAGAAAATACTAATTAGTTTGCTTTAAATTTGTATAAGCTCATGCAGTGCTCTGCCTTTAAGCTAATGGGAGCTCTACAAGCTCAGAGCTATTGCTAGATCAGGAAGTGAGCATGCTAAATGTCGTTTCTGTTTGATTTCATGCAATACATGTACAGTAATTGATTAGCTTTAAACTCACTGCGTCTGTGACTTTCTGATATAAGGAAACAAAAGACTAATTAGTCAGCATAGGAATAAGAAATAATAGCTTTCAGCTTTGCCTGGCAACTCTAAACTAGGAGGACAGCACAAAATAAATCAGCACAGCAAGAGACTCACTAAAACATTGGATAATACCATGAGCAATAATAAGATTTGCCAACTATAGGATTGCATGATAAGATAAGGGTAGGCAATTTTCATTTTTCACGGCAAAAGATCTTGAGTCAGCAAGGAGTTTGCTCCCCAAAACCTCTCTGGAACAATTCTGCATAAAAATGAACTACAGAAGAGATGTTAGTCACTGCTGCATGTAAGCAGTGACCCATAGGCCTTCAACAAGACACAATCAGTTACAGCAATTCCAATATTCACACTGCTGTGCGGCTCCGTGACTCTGTAAAGTAGATTTGCATGGTTTATTTTTCTCTGTGGTTTGTCATATTATCAATAATTTTGGAAATTTAATGTTTCCTCCAGTTTAAAATTAATAAGTTTTTCTTTTTATTCATTTAACAGGAACCCAACCACTAAGAAAACAAGTGTGTTAATTTATGTGTTAAAAATGCTATCTGCACTGCCTTTACTCGTGATGAAGGCACAACTCTGGCAAATGCAGTTGCAAAGCCAGAAAGGAGTAAAATCTTCTACCTCCTAGAGCACACTTCTTTTAATTTCCAGAAGACCAGACTTATTCACCGTTCTTAAACAGCCCCATTGGTAGAACAAGGTTTCATATGGTCAAAATAGGATTTAAAATAATTTAAGAAATAGATTTTTGTCCACTGCCTAGAATAAAGAATTTTCATGTGCCATACATCAAATTTGAGGTTTAATTCACTTGGCGGAGCCTTTTTACCTGTAGGCCGTAATAAGTAAAAGTCTACCTGACTCACTGACAAAGGTTCATCTGCACTTCGATCATCCGAAGACTTTGGAACTTCGAGTCTGTCAATGAAAGCCTGGAGCTCTTTCCTGAAGGCCTTCATCTGTGCATTGATCCGGTAAAGAAGCTCGTGCTCGCGTATTCTGCTGCCATCGTCTTCCTCATCCATCAGTCCAAAGAGGTCCCCATTAGCTACATAAATTCTTGCCTCTGTTATGATGGTGCTCGTGTCAGAAATTAAGCGATCTATTGTCTTGCCCAGCCGCTCAGCTTCAGAGCGAATGTCCTTCATCTGCTGCCTGTCAGTGAAGCTTTTCTGCCACCCAGATGGTGTCGGATAAAAAGACCTCGTAGGTGTCAGGCACCGAATGTTGCGTACCTCTTCAGAGTCGCTTTCCCCACCGATGGGCCCTTCCCTTTTGCGGTGAGGGGGGCGGGAATCATCATCGCTCTCTTTTTTTCCTGCATCACTTTCCGCATCACTGTCTCTGGGACTGCCACGGATCCCAAGATGAGAGGCCAAGTCATAGCGTTGCATGTTGGACATTAAGACTCTATTCTCGTACTGGAGTTGCATGACTTTGCCACTCAGCTCGTTGATCTGCATTCGTGCAGCTTTTAGCTCCTCCTGTAATGCTTCTGTCTTGGCGTTATCATGGTGCCTAGAGCTCTCATGGGCCCCAGACTTGTACTTGTATTTGTTCAGCTCAGCTGTTATGCGCTTGTTTTGTTCTTCCAAATCAGCTAAATTTCTCCTTAGCAATTCTGTTTCATCTTCTACTAGCTGCAAATGCTGTCGTAATTCTGACAGGGATTCACTCTGCTCTCCCAGGAGCGGGTTAGCGGTCCCTGAGAAATCATCTCCTCTTAAATCATCAAGCTCTGCTTTCAGTCCTCTATTTTCTACTTCTAGTTCCACTATTTTCCTCCCAAGAATGTTAGCTTCCTCCTCCACAAGTCTCAATCGAAGCTTGAGTTCAGCTTCTCTGGTGGTAGGTGGCCCACCTGCTTCACCTTTTGGCAAGGGACTGTCCAAATCCCCATAAAACGACCTATATTTTTGCAGCTCGTGTTCAAATCTATCTTTCTCTTTATCAATCTTGGCCATTTTCTTCCTCATCAAGGCTGCTTCTTCTTTGACAAATTGTAGCTGGCATTTCAGGTCTTCATTGTCCTCCTTAGAAAAAAGAAAAAGTAGTATTTGAAGAAACTTGATGTAAAACAGGAAACCTCCAGTGGATGGTCTTAAATTACAAGATTAACAATCACAGGTATGTAGCTTTAGATACTAAGAGATTTTCCTGCAATTGTTTTTTCACTGATCAATAAATTAAAGAGGAAGAAATAATCACTTACATTTAAAAGAGGGGAAAAGACTATTTTACTTGCGACTAAAGTCTGCACAGTCCCCAGAAAATATGTTGTGGGCATGGGGGGCTTGTAAAAAATCTTCATATTTTCTAGGCTTGCAACACTGTAATAGACTTTACAGTGTTTAAAAATCCTGAAGTCAGCACACAAAGGGCCTATAATCTTGTTTCACTGGTGCTCCCATTTATTTATTTTGCCTAAAAGACAGAGTACATGAGAGCTGGTGGGTTCTGTTGCAGCACCAGTGGTTTGTTTAGGTGGTCCTTGACATAGTGTTGTGTGACTGCAGATCGGGGGTAAGAAATCTCCATTTCACAGCATATAGGAAAACAAAGAGCAAAGCAAACAAGCAAGCAAAGTGCAAATCTACAAATCGTGTACATCGTTTCCATAGTGTCCCTGAAGCCTCCACATGAGAATCCAAGTTGCAGTTATTACAACATACCTCTGTTGGTGTCTGCTGTGACTTTTTTTCTGATTTTGGTAGGTCTTTGCTTCCTCTTCTTTTCAGTGATTGCTGCAACAACAAAATGAGATGCACTGAGTATTTCTCTGAAGAGGTATATAATTCATACTTCAGTCATTTTAAAATATAGCAAGTCAAATGCAACTATAAAGGAATAAATTTCTTGTAATCCTTGAGATACCAAATACAGAGGGGAGACACAGCTGCCCAAAAATGACACAGCAATGTTATACAAGTAAAGTACTGGCTTAATCAGTCTGTTACCTTTTTTATTCAATGCATTTTACGACTAGTGCATAATGAATGTTTAACACATGACAAGAGAGGTAAGAAAGCAGGTAACCCAAGTGGTAACTTACAGATGCGAAAGCTGAGGCAAGCAGTGAAACCCAGCTTGCCCATTTGATTCTTAACCCTAATGGGGCCAAGGCACTTAAATATGCACCTAGCCAGACATGTAGCCTCAGCCTTTGCGGTAATCAAGCTACATACAACAGTGTCACCGAGATCCCGTCAGCTTACTTGAGTGTACATCTACAAGCACACTTCTCTTTGCGTCCCACCCCCAGGCTTCAGGCTTGCAGTGTGTTGCAGTCACACCTCTGTAGGTGTATGCTGTAGAAAAACTCTGTGCAGACAAACTCACACATAGATCTGGTTTCTAGGTTTGATCTGTTTTCAGACCGTATTCAAGTAAATATAATTTATAACTGCTTAGACTACGAAGTCCTAATGAGGAACAAAGCATATTAGCTTAAGAACAGCACCACATAAACACATGTATGCACTGCCATATGAGCAAGCTTCTTCGGGGTCTTCTCATCCGCTATGTAGCCAAAGTGAGTAGAAAAGAATCTCCTGCTTTTAGAGCAGGATGCACTGGGATCGAAGCCTACTAGCGTATCCAGCAAAGATCTCATATCTGCTGACAGTAGAAAGTTCATTAGTGGGCAAGCAGCAGCAGTGGAAAACAACTGCAACCATCCTGCTGTCAACACTCAATACAGATCATTAAGAAAACAGCAGGGGAGGAAAGCAAGTGAGAGAACATGTTCATACATAACATCCTGCTTACAGCTGTTCCCAGTTTTTATGTTCCCCAGGTAAAACGTAGGCCCTGAGGCAGGGCAGTGATACAGCTAACACCATCTCCCTCTGAGATCATTCTCTGGTAGAAGGATGCTTTGTGCCGCTGAGAAACATGCATTTCCCTGCACCAGCCAGAGCAGAACCCAGCTGTATCTAAAAGCCATCCAGTTCCATACAGTGGGAATTAAAATATGTTCATAATCCTCAAGGAACAGAGTAGAGTGGGCGAGTATGCTGCACATAACAGTCCTGTGCACTACACGCCTGCTGGTACCAATTGTTCTCTTCCTTCTGCAGATCATCCCCACAACAAATACTAAGCTTGTGGACTGCTCACTCCAAAGGAAAACTCAACACTGTAGAAATGACTCACATCTAAATCTGAGCAACCACCACAAGAGATGATTTCTCATGAGGCTTTTTTGCTCAAATATACTGTAGAGTTATGCAAGAATTAAGAAAAACAATCTCAGATTCAGAATCAGAACTAAAATTCACAGATGGGTCCACCAAAAACCAGAATTAAATTTTTTATGTCTCTTGCAGAAATAGTAGACAGAACAATAAAACCAATCAAAGATCATGAGCTGTGATAGCTGGATAGTTGGATAGCCGTGAATCACAAGCTTCTAAAGAAACCCAGAAAAGACACAAAAAATAGTTAAATTAACTCATTTTTTCCCCTTTAAATATAAAGCAAACAACTCTGGGATCCAGTCTACAAACACAATGATTCTTCTCCAGGGTCACCTATCAATTATACTATTACAGAAATGTTATATACACATGGAGGTTTGTGGTTTGGGTTTTTGTTTTGTTTTTTTCTTTTCTTTTCGAACTGGCAAATTTACGAAGCATTAAACTTTCAGAGTAGCACCTTTCTCTTCTGTATTACCATTAATTATACCGCTATTTATTATCATTTTGAAAAAACCCTTTTCAAATCAGATAGCATTGCAAACTTCTCCTTGCTCCAGATTCTTGCCAATACCAGCCACTGGTAAAATAACTAAGGGACAGTTAAACTATATTTCTGCTTGATTACCTAAATGCCTTCTATTCACCCTGCTGAGCTCAGCATCTCTCCAGATATAATGAGGTTCTGAAATGCTGAGCTGCAACCTCTTGTGTACCCTACAACTTTTCAGAAGCTAAGAGATATATAAAAAGTTTCCCATGACAAAAAGAAAGAAACAAACAAACCCAAAAACTACAGAGAGCAAAAGGTATTTTTCTAGGTTTGACATAAAACAAAAAATCTGTTTTTCTCCTTTCTCTATCTTTTATGTTCCTTTTGGAAGTCAGGATAGCAATATTTTAATTACAACAGTAGTTGTGGCTATGTAATGACTTTTAAATGTAATGATTTTTAAAATGCCTCCCTTATTCCGCAACTCTGTCAGTGCAATTTGCCGGCAACCAACTCAAGACACTGGCTTTGTCTGTCACTGGCACAAGTACATAGAATGACACAACCTTTCACTCCTTCCACCCCCTTTCAAGGGCAGGAGGAGCCCTGAGTATTTCAGTATTCTACTTGCTTGCAAAATTAAGGCAGGAAAGAAAAAGCAGGAGGTAAGTGAAACGCAAAGAAGCACAGCACCTCTGTCCATGAAGCAAACACTAAGCATATCCCTACTAGTTCTAGCAATGCTCTCTTCATATTAAAACTGGCATATTTGAAAACATCGCTGAGGAATGATACAAAATGAAAGCAATCTCTACTATGTCACCGTGGAGATAAAAATAGTTCTTATATAGTCTTTTGAATGTCTTCATATTGCAGAAGAGAAAAGAGGATATAATTTTTATATATATAATATAGTATATAATTTATATTTA